TGGTGCGTGTGAGTGATTTTTTTTCGTATCCTACGTTTTTTTTTGCAGGCGATTTTATTAATGACGCGTATCCCGTCGCTCGGGCATATAACCCTGAGACTATATCCATAAACCACTATACATACAGCTATTAAAAAATATATCGACGAAAAAGAATCGCAGAATTTCAAGTCGCTGTATATATATGTATCGAAGCATTCGTGCACTTGTCTCTCTTTCTTGAGATACAAAAATCAATCGGAGCCTCGAGTCAGATCGTTTCTCGCGTGCGTCGCTCAACTGCCACATGCTCCTCTTGTATATAGAAGCAGCAGCAGCAGCAGCAGCGCGAGGGTGGAATGGATAATTGACATCTCTCGAGCGTCTCTCTCTCTCTCTCTCACTCGCTCATTCACTCGAGAGTTGGGAAAATAGCTCTCCTCTTACCGTCATTAGTGCCTTTGGTATATATATAGTATAAGCGCGCGGGCGAGTAAAGTGCACCGCTGCAGCAGTATATAAATATAAGCCCGGCGGGGAAAAACGAACCCATACCCGATATATATGTATATATGCTGCACACACGAAAGTCGAAGCAAAGCCAGCCTCTCTCGCATGGCCCCGCGTCCATCCGTCCATCCGCCCGTCCGTCCGTCTTGTGTATAAGCTGTAGCAACAGCAGCACGGTATATTAGCCGGGCGCTTGATTGAAGCTCGCGCTCATTAACCGAACCTTTCGCGGTTTCTCATTCCTCCTCGGCTGCTCTCCTCGTTTGCATTGTGTCGTGTGCTTCTCGCATGCTGCAGGCTGCAGTACATACACACACACACACACACACACAGCACATTTGTGTATATACGTATGTACGAATGAGAAGGGGGGAATGCGAGCTGCATTCGTGGGCTCGTGAGAGACTTTTAAAGAGGAGGCAAGAGAGAGAGAGCCGGCTAATGTGTATGTATATATCTTTGCCTGTATATATATAAAGGGCCCCCCTTTTCTCTCTTTCTTCTTATATATTATGCACACGAGTCTCTCTCTCTCTCTCTCTCCACGAGAGACTTGGAATATATATACCGTTCGCCGAGAGCGCTAAGGTCAGGAGAGAGAGAGAGAGAGAAACGCGATTTGCGGAATCGTCTTCTTATTCTTCGTCGTCGTCGTCGCTATGCCGTTGTTGTTGTTGTTGTTGTTGGGATTTTTCTCGCGAGCAGACTCGAAGATCGAGGCTCTCTCTCTCTCTTATAGAGCCTCGAACTGCGCGCGAACTCCGTGCGGTTTCCGAAAAAGTATAACTTAACTTCTGTGTATACTTCTTCGTTTCTCGAGGTCTCTCTGTCTGCGAATAAAGAAGAAGAAAAAAGGGGGGAAAAAAAATCGAAAGCAACGTAATCACGGAGCGAGCGATCCTCTTTGACCCCGGCATTGCTCGGAAGAGAATTGCAACACTTTGCGCGCTGCTCTCCGCTGTTGTATATTACAATATACCTATGAGAATTTTCGTGTCTTCGATCAATAGTAAACGTCCCGCGACGCGGATTCATTTAATATACTAAATCATATATATTTTATAATTGTAATCGAGTCAAGTTGCGTGGTCTGATATACGTATATACAAATAGCAAGTACGCCACAGGTATATAATGAGACAAAACGAAAAAAAAAAAAAATTAAAAAGGAAAAATAGAGAGAGGGAGCTGTTACAGAGAAGTGAATAAATCTCGATTAAGTCGTTACTCATATATAATAATATTTCGTGTATATATATTCTACATCTGACGACCGAAGCCGCGTATGTCTATTATAACGCACGCACACATGATTACGTTATTGACGTGTATATACCACGACACCTGTTACACACACGCACATAGGCACAGGCCGAGGATAGGATTAAGGAGACACTATATACTATACATGATTTAGAATAAGAATCAAATGTAAAGTGAGAGAAGTAGGAGGAGGAGGACGAGGGGGCAAAATCCGAGGAATCTGATCAATCATATTTTTCTCGCGAGCCAAAGCCACAAATTAAAACGTATTAATAAAAAAAAAAGATTGCCATATGATTACATTATACAATATAACATAGGCACGCATCGATTAAGAAATAAAAAATAAGAAGAAGAAAAAAAACTTTCTTCTCCATCCGAGCATTAGTAATATCACATTCGAGCCCGAATGTGTCATATTCTATATTGGACGGAATTAATAATTTGACATGTGTGTGTATATTCTGCATACATGCGGGATCTCGTGTGTGTAACACGAAAAAAAAGATTGCGCAAATGTATTTAGTCATCGGGTCGCAGAGTCTTAAATTTCTCCCATTATTTTGCTCTCTCCTCTTCTACGTTTTTTTTTTTTTTTCATTAACGTAAACTTCGAGCGAAATTGGGGTGCTCACGATTTTTCTATCCGTGAAAAACGGCGACCCGTGTGTACATATATATACACAAGTTACGTACTTACATGCAGGCTGATATAAATCGAGCGACGCGCGCGCGAGATCTCTATCTGTGTACGTTGGCTTTCGCGTGTGCTCCTCTCTCTCTCGTGTTGCTCCCGATCGCGTCGCGCATCATTGCTACTTTATATATATACACAAACACAAACGACGAGTATATAGAGTACGTCGTAACCATTATAACAAATGTATAAACACAGACACAGACAGACAGACACAGATGCGCTATACTCTCTGCAACTTTACTACTACCCCGAAAAACTAGGCTCGCTTCTCTTGGTATATACGTGTATCGCGTTTCCACGCGCGCGACCCAACGATGTATATTATGTACTTTGTGCTTTATATACATGTTTTTGTAATGTACTAAAGCTCGAGAGAAGATGTTCCGAAAAGAGGTATTGGCTTACACATACATTCGACGGAATAATATAGGGAGGCAGCGGCAGGGTTTTTAGGCTGTACAAATATCGCAGTCGCTAAATGGACTTTGGAGGCCACCACCACCGCTATACGAATAACGCGTCTTGATACACACGTGTATGGTACTGGATAGGAAAATAAAAACTGCACGTATACATATTGGATCTGTATTATATGTAGGCCACGAGGCACACACGCGCCCATATCTGCGTCCCTTACCCCTCCCTGCGCCTCTGTCTTATATATCCGAAACGATTCGAGAGAGAGAGAGAGAGAGAGAGAGACGCAGAAGAAATATTACACCGTGTCTTTGATATAAAGCGAATATTCGCAACTTGTAACGTATCGCGCAAAGAGAGAAAGACAGAGATAATGTGCTGCTGTATGTATATATAGCGGAAACGGGTGCGCTGTTGCTGCTGCTAGAGGCCGGCCCGTTTATATATTAAGTACATCTCTCGAAGCGAAAAACCGATCGATCGGCCGCTACGATAATACGAGTATATAACCGATCTTGTGCACACACATACACACACACATACATACGTATAAGCGTTTTTCCACATATACAGGCAGCGATTTCCTTTCGTAGAAAATCGCGCGCAATGCATGTAACTGCTATATAAGCCTTTTTTTCTCTTTCTCGTACCGCTGCTGCCGTTGCTATAGATTCGGGGCCGGAATTCATATGTTCATATGCGCTGTATTATATATCTGTACGAGCTGCTGCGGCCCCAATTATAATAGAGACAGGCGCCAGTTCCGGCGCGCATTTGAATACACAAACACACACACGAATAATAATGTACACATAAGTAGAGTATCGTATGCTCCGTGTATTGCTGCTGCTGCTGCGCACCATCCGGTGTACATAGCGCAAAGTGGGCCCCGACGCCGCCTCCGCGTTCATAGAGAGAAAAGAGAGCTAGACGTATACGAGCACGGATTTAAGTATACGTATCGCAATGCAATTTTTTTCCTTTTTTTTAAGGGATGGGGGGGCCAAAAATCTGGACGTACGTCACGTGCGTTGTACACACGTCTATAGCTTCTCGCCACCGCGACGAGAACCCCCCCACTCGATGTATACAATGTGTATGCAACTATTATTCCGCGTACTTCTTGAAATATACAAAACTCGTTTTTCTCGCTTTTGGCAATCGACGATCGATGAGTACACCTATACGTGCTGTATCGTATTTCTTTCAAAAGAGCTAGACGCGAATCGATACGTCTTGTATTAGATGTACAATATAAAGGGAGATAAAAAAAAATGGCTCTCGTACCGATCGACGAGGTAGTACATTACGATACTCGGTGCATTGCAGGACGCTTGAGGAGCCGCGAGCTAAATTTATTATACATATATATATGATTTTTTTTTTGACGCGTATGAGTATATATATATTTTTTGTACTTGTGTAGTTACGATCGATGAGTACTCGTTTATTTTTGTGTATATTATAAATCATTTGGCTCTCGGGTCTGCTCATTTTTTTCTCTCTTCCTTTCGATACATATACTCTTTGTTACGTATATCCCGATCGCGAGAAATCAATGACGCGTTGCGCGTTGGTACTTGGAGTACGCAATGTATAATGGGGCCCTATATACGTATACAAAAACGCATAGAGCATTGAATTCGCCAAGGCACACCGTACTATGATGTACCCTCCCTGCGTCGCACGAACACACGAGTACCTATATATTTATACACAATATTTATATACGAAATATACAGTTTAGTAAATGACTGAGTGTATACGCGCGCGACGCGTGTAAAATTTCATTTTCATATAGGTATGCGCGACTCCGCGCGTATATAATATAGCGCATAAACAGAGAGGGAGAGAGAGAAAAATTTTTTCTTACACGTTGCATCTTCGAGAGTCGCATAGTATGTAGCGTATTTATACGCACAATAGCTATTGTGCCGAGTACTACACACATTTGTACATTCGATACGCGGGGCACATGCAGCGGCAGCAGCATCTCTCGCCGTTATATACCTCATTCTTTCGTACATAATGCAAGGTATATTATTTTTATATTCCTTAGCTCATTTTTAGCCGAACTACCATTTTTTGTACATTTTTTAAATTTCTTCGTGATGAAAATATTATTGGTAGAAAAGTGATAAATTCTCTTATAATACATTGCTTTGTTTACATTAATTTGAATGTTCGTATCATGATTGGTAAATATTATTGAACTCAAGTCAGTGAGTTCGATGTGTGATTTCCTCACACGCAGAGATCAGTCATTAACTAAATTCCAAGTTTGAAAAATGGAATCCCGTGGTGAATTTGACTTTACGGCGAGGTAATTTTTATTTTATGAGAATCAAAGATGAATTAACAAGTTATTAAATCATATTGCAACTGTTTCAGAGTGAAAGAAGAGCCACGTGACGAGCCGCTCGACGAAAATGATTACCAAATGGGGTTTCTGCAAGAAAATCCAGTAAGTGTTGATAATTACGTAGTTGCTTTGAATGAAAAATGTTCACCTTTAATTTTTGACAGTGTCTTGGGCTTCAGAAGTACGACGCAAAGCACGAACTTGACGACATCCGAATCGAACTCGAATGCAGGGACCAGAAGCCTTACGCAAATTTATTAAAAGTAGAAAAGATGCAGGATTATTCGCAAAATCACTCGCAAGATGTGAAGTACGACGATCGTCGTGAGGCTCGATGCACAATCAAAGTAGAAAGCGCACAGGAAGTGAAACAGGAATTTTCTGGTGACGTTGCGGAAGAATCAAATTCGAATTTAGACTGTGAACTCAGCGAGCGAAATCAAAAAAAAAGTGTTGCAAGTAGATCAGTGGTTAGTGGCAACACCCACAATTGTGACACATGCGAAAAGACGTACAAACGAAAACTGAATCTCAAACGCCACATCGATTCGGTACATAATAAAATAACTCACGCATGCGGTTTATGCGAAAAGACCTACAAATGTATAACTAATCTTCAAACCCACGTAAATTCGACGCATAAGGGTATGGCACCGGCGTGTGATATTTGCGGAAAAAAATACTCGACTAAGGGTCATCTTAAAGCTCACATCGATGCAGCTCATAATGGTAGCAAACCTACTTGCGACACATGCCGAAAGACATTCACGAGAAACAGTAGTCTTAAAGCTCACATCGATGCGACTCATAATGGTATCACACACACATGCGACACATGCCGAAAGACATTCACGAGAAACAGTTATCTTAAAATTCACATCGATGCGGCTCATAATGGTATCACATACACATGCGACATGTGCCGAAAGACATTCACGCAAAAAAGTAGTCTTAAAGCTCACATCGATGCGGCTCATAATGGTATCACACACACATGCGACATGTGCCGAAAGACATTCGCACAAAGATGTAATCTTAAAATCCACATCGAATCGATGCATAAAGGTATTTTATATACATGTGATATGTGTGGAAATATGTATAAACAAAAAGCCAATCTCAATAGACACATGAAAGAGACACATATTGGGATTACATATGCATGCGATATATGCGAAAAGACATACAAGCAAAAGAGTCAACTCAAAGATCACATTGATACACAGCATAAGGGCAAGAGCTACGCATGTGATTTTTGTGAAAAAAAATATAATTATCGATCTACTCTCAATAAACATATTATATCGTCGCATAACGATATCACACATGCATGCGAAACGTGCGGCAAGGTATTTGGACAAAAAAGAAGTCTCAAAGCTCACATCGAAATGGCACATTGCCCACGCCTGAGCCCGTAAATTTGTAAAATTCATATTTCAATTATGTAAATAATTCCTATGTACAATCCAATATATTTTTTTGTAAGACTGATTTAAACAATTTTATTTATAATGTGATGAATTTCTTCTGACTTGTGTTTAAAAGAAATGATAATAAAAGGCAGCATATTTTTAATAAAAAAAGGACCGTATCACGTATTTTCTGATCCTTCATAATTCTGAGCTAATTGACTCTATTCTAGTATTCAGTTTTATGTTGACACTGATCAACAGCAGAACGAGTGAAACTACACTTTTAGTTCAATTTTTCTTAGATAAAATTTTTTTTCACTCGTTCTCAGTTTTAAATTTCAATTTTCCCCATCATAAATGTCGCTATTTTCTTCCTCAAGTCGAATTAAAAATTGTTCGACCAATCAAAAAGCCGTTTCCAAGTGCTACATTTTTAGGTCTGCATATATACCTCTCTAAATTACTGCTGCACTTCCATGCGCTCGACGCTATAGACTTTCACTGACCGAGGGCCAAAAATTCATTTACACTCAATTATGGTTATTGCGCGTCTGTTTGTATATTATAAACTACGCCGTTATATACGCCAGGGAATAGCGGCAGACGACATTAAAGCGTAATCACCCCCTGAGTCGTCGTTCGTCGTGATCACGCTTCTCTCCCCCGGCCCCGGCGCGCTCGCAGACACATAATAATACGTAAATTCTATATTGTATGTACGATATATCTCGTGCGCAATTATAATCAACTCGTTGCTGCTGTTGCTGCTGCTGCTACAACACAAAGAGGTCGAGAATCGCAGCATCTCTCGCTGCTGACTCTGTCCTTTCTATTATTCGTGTGTATATAGGACTATATTATATTATGTATATATATATACACAAACGCATCGCGGAAACACAAGCGTATACGTATTACAAAGCCCGAGTCGAGCTATATAGAGTAGTTCGGAGTCTAAATTGAAACTCAAACATCATAATGTTATACGTACACGTATACACGGCGATACACTCAGACATTCTCGCGTACAGTCCCATTATACCCTTACGAGAACGTCAACTCCGCTTATAAACTCGCCCAATTAAGCCACCCTCATATCGCTCTGATAGGTATGTGTATGTGTGTGTGTGTATGTGTGTGCGTGTGTACGTCTGCGCCGCCTCCGCCTCACATGCTTACGTTATATGTGCATACGCACGTCCGAGTGTATTACGTATGTAATATTTCTCTCTGTCCCGTCTCTCGTACTCTCACTTGCCCCGAAAAATTCCCATGATAATTCCACGCGCGTGTGCACGCACACACACACATACATACATCGTGGGTCCTCCTATTATGTATACTATATTTTATCCCCGCGTCAGAGCGCATATCGCCAGGCCGCACGAGGCCGGGCATTAAAAATTCAAAAAGTCGAACGCGCGCGCGAGCGCGTGCAGCAGCGCGAGTGGAACCCGAGCAATGGCCCTGGAGATATAGAAAGAGAGAGAGATACAACACCGCCGCGAGTGAGGAACGAAAAATCTCCCACACATAGCAGAGCATGGCATAGCGCACAAGGGGCTGGAGCAGCAGTGCACAGACTCGTAATTACGCTTTGCCCTTTTTTCTCTCTTTTTTTTTTTTTTTTTTCGTTAGGCGTTGTTAGTGTTTCTGTGTATGTGTGCACGCAGCAGCATCGCTCGACTCTCACAAGCCTCTAGTGCTTTAACACATAATGTAGCGTACGTTGCGTTTTTAAGAAATAAGATTTTTCGGGCGAGTCATTGATACGATGCGTGCCGTGTTGTTGCAGAGCACTGCGAGTTTTTTGGGCAAAAATTATGACGATCCGCCCGAGCGAGCTGCCTCGTTCTATGTGTTTTTTCGTATATACTTTTATTTCACACCCGAGCTCATTTTCGTGTTTTTAGTCTCTCTCTCTCTCTTTTCTTCTCTTTTTTAACTTCCTAAACTGAACGTGACTAAACGAGAGATCATCAGGACATTCTTGATTTCTTTTTGCTCTCACTTTTTTTATTTTCTACGATGCGTCGCGGTGAATAATCCGGTCGGCTTATAAGGTGACTTTCGCGTTGCATTAAAATTTTAAACGCTAAGATAGAATCGTCGTCGCGGTGGACTGCGACTTGACACGTGCCGCGATATATAGCTAAACCGCGATAAATATAACACTTTAGTAAAGTCTCATTTATTATGTATCGAAAAAAAAGAAAAAAAATGAGTTACAACTAATCCGGATTGCTGTCGATTAAATTATATTGTAAAGATAGGATATTCTCGAACTCAAAAAATATTCTTACTGCCTATCGTATCCTAAACACGTTGAGCGAATAATCGATTTCGTATATCGCAGCTATCGTAAAAAATTACCACCAACAATCCGAGCGCGAATTGCAGACCAATGTCATCGTGATCGCAGTTGAGCATATACGAGAGCTGTTATTTCGCGCAACAAATTTTTTACGACCTCGTATATATAGTCGATGAAAATTTCTCAACGGAGGCGCACGACGATGTGCATAATAAAAATTCAATCGATCGCCCCGCGAGTTATGAGCTCGTTGGGATAGGGTCGTTATAAGCCGCACGGAGAGTAATTGAATAGAAAGATAACTTGGAGTGAAAAATCAGGCGCTCGACGCTGGGAGCGTTTACAAGTGCTCGGCGGCGATGGAATAGGTGGAGGCCTGTTCCGACGCGTCAATGGACGAAGAATCGAGCGAATGAAACGTTTTGCAGCTCTACGGTTAGAGTCAACGAAACATAAAAAAAATTACTTTGATTTCGATGTGGTATCGTGATAATATGTGAACGCACAATTTGAGATCTGCGACTGGGACCTATGCGATCAGAGTGTGCATCGAACTATCGACTCTGATCAACCTTGCTTTCGTTAGTTTATAGATATACTGGCCTGGTTAAAGAAAATCACAGGTCTTTAGGTTTATCATAATTTTGAAATGAATGTTTTTTCAAAAATGAAAACACAAATTTTCACTAAATTGGGTCTTAGGCATATATTTTGATATCATTCGGAAGATAATTTCGCAATTTTCTGTTCGATTATGTGACAATTTAATAGTTTTAAAAAATGTGTATCTGTTTTCAACTACTTTAAATAGATTTATACTGTTTTCCCTTTCCACCACTAGATGGCTAGTGTCTTTATTTCAGTAAATCTGCAATTGGCAAAGTCAAAATAATTGTATAAGTTACAGTCAATATGTGGATATGTTCAGTGTACACATGAATAAACTTGAACTTCTAATGACCTATTTATGTCCGAGAAACTTTTTCATTGGTTAAAAACTAGTCGTAAAACTTTAAGCATTTCTACCAGGAAATTCCCGACAAAATAAAATTTTCGGGAAACTTTATTAAAACCGCAGGGTGTGCAATTTTTAAAGTTTGAATTAACTTGAAAATTTTATGCTCAATACCACATTTATTGATGTTTATTCAGTATATATTACGATGTTTTAATCTGACACCATAGTACTCAGTAAAACTAAAAATTATAGCGAATTTTTTTTATTTACATTCACTTTATAAAAAAATCTAAACATGTTAGCTGAATCTAAGATCGAGGCTTGGGAAAATGAAGATTTTTTAACGATAGCCAACACCATGTGGGAGCAAAATTTTACCTGGACTTCGAGAGTTATGAAGTTAGCTTTTTTATATCCTTTTCAAAAAAGAAGCATAAAAATAATTGGTAATGTAATTTTAAGCTTATATTTATTTACTTCATTTGGAGCCACAGTAAGTATTTTAAAGATTTCACTGGCAACATGATGTGTAATAACATATTATGCATCGGGTGTAGATATTTGTTGAAATAGCATATTTATACCAGTTGCATACAATATTTTATAACACAAAAAGCCAAAAAATGGCAGTAAACTTTAGATTAAAAAGCTATAAAAATAATTATCATTTATTAAGATGCTGAAAATCTTTGGGAATTTAAAAAAAAATCCAACGCTGAACACAACTTTGGTTGAATCTATATTTCAGCTAATAACTTTTTTCGTAATGATATTTTGCTATCTCCGGATGGTTATGGATGCGAAAAAGGTAAGTAAATATTACTATAAAGAAAATAATTATAATATACCCTGACAATAAGAATGAAATTTTATTTTCAATCTTAATAAGATTCATGCTTGTGCAGTATTGATGATAAGAATGTGGCGATCCAATTCTGAAGACACCCAAAATAAGATGTTCAAACTATTCAAATTAGGATATTATATTGGTATTTTTCAAACTGGTTGGTATCAAAAATGGTGACCGAACATTTAGAGAAATTTATTTATTTAGACATTTTTTAGTGTCATTAATTATTATGTGCATCAGCTTTGGAGTAGCCCCATTAGCTATCCCGTACTTCTTAAACTGGGCCCTGCCAGGCAATCAGACTTACGAAAAATCGTTACCACTCCATACAGAACTATTTTTGAGTGAAGATGAATACTTTTATCAAATTTTTGCAGCCCACCTTACTTCATTGTTTATTTTTAGTTTATTGATCAGCGCGATGAATGATTTTCAATGTACGGCCATATCATTCATTATTGGCCAAGTTCGTGGTTTGGAGTACGTGATAGCCAGAAATAATATCTTAAGTTTAATAAGCTTTTGATGATCTACTATTTTTCCACAGATATTTTTTACACAAAATGGATGACGACTATAAATTCGAAATTTTAAATGATGAAAAAAAAGGAAAAACATGGATTTGTAAACAGTTCCAAGAATTTATTCGCTTGCATCATACTCTTATCGAGTAACTATATTTAATTGCAATGTTTTTAGTACATTAATAACTTATATTCGCATGAATAATAGGTTTTACAATATCGTTCGCGATATAAGCAACATGATGATGTTTGTTGTGATACTGGGATGTAGTTGTATCGTTGTCTTGACGACTACATCGGTATGACTGAGCTCATTTTATAGATTTAAATTCTAGAATCACTATTACTATTTTACTGGCATATTTTTAGATCGTACTTTTAATGGAAACAGATTTAGTAGGGTCGGCAAAAATGTTGTTTGCGTTTATGGTTTCTACGTGTGCTATAGCTTTCGTTTGTTTTCCTAGTCAACTATTAAGGAATGCAAGTGACGAACTGTTT